ATAACTTTCGATAACTTTCTTGTTTGGTTTACCCTCACTTGTGGATTGTGGGTAATTTAAATGTCTTAGAACTAATTGTATATATTATGGATACTCTATAACTCTAAATAGTAATGACGGTGTATCTATATTCTATATAGTAGGTACCTACTTATTATACTTGCGTAGTTATTCTACATGTAGGCTCTCCCGAGAGATCTTTCTCAGGATTAATTACAATAAAGAACTATCTAAGAAGTTGGGAATAATAACTAGAATAGTAGGTAAGTMAATTTTTTTGTGTTTATTTTATTTTAACAATAATAAATACTCAAACACTTTATATTTTGGTTAGAGTAATGCATACAATAAAAAAATATGGTGTTTATTTTATTTTAACAATAATAAATACTCAAACACTTTATATTTTGGTTAGAGTAATGCATATTGATCAAGAAAAAATATTTAAAAAAAAATATGTATATACTTTATAAAAATGAAGAAAATCCATTAAATTGTTAACTCAAATACCTTATTTATGCTTGAATATATTATAATAAAATGTACACCATATTTTTTTATTGTTTTACTAAAAATTAAAAAAAAAAATAGCATAAAGCAACATAACCATATTATTATCAGTGATTTAAATTTAAATGTTGATAACCTTGGATACCAAATAGGTATATAAGTATATAAGTATTTATAACACATTAATAAATAAAAACATAAGCATAATGACCACCTATTTATACTAATGAGTCTTACTTTAAAATGCTTACACACGTTTTAAATATTTTAGTTTTTCTTAGTCTTTGTTCTATGCATAATGCTTATTATGCAATACGATAGGGTTAAGTATTTTACATGTAATGTTTTTATAGTTTTCATTTATAAAATCAARATTAGCTAAATAAGTCATAGGAATAAGAAGAGAACATATTTTTTTTGTTTTACGAAATATTTATTTTTTAGATATTTAATTGATGACACATGAATTAATGTCATACAAAACATTAAAACTAAAAATTAAYTTTWATAYAATATTTGCTAAAACCAAAAAAATCAATAAGATGGGCCAATTAAGTGAGACGAAGTTTTTGAAAGCGCTTTCAGTTAATGGAATTTTTCCCTTTTCCATCTTTTAAATACATATTATTTATAAACCAGTTTAGACTGTAAATATAATCTTATTTTAAATGGTTCTTTTTCCATTTCTTCAATTACATATATTATTAGTGTATTGTCCTTATTTTCTGAATTTGAATTCGTTTCACGATACTTGTTTGTCATGTGTAATATAATAAAAACAAATATTTTAAAAATTTGAATTATATTTTAAATTTTTACATAATKKATTGTATTCGTCATAAAATTTAAATTGTAAAGTTAAAAATAAAATTAATATTTCTATGTTTAAATAAATATGTATGTATATTTTACGTAAACATATATTATAGTAAACTATCATTCTTAGTTATTATATTTGTATAACATTCTTTATTGATTTTGTTCTGTTTTCTTACGTTTTTACAAATCTATGCTTTAAAAAATATTCCCATACACGGGTATTCT